CACGTATACGATTTATAATAAGTATTTTTAGAGAGATAGATTCAGAGCTTCTATTTATAATCCAAAGTGATTCTATTTTCAAACGATTCACTAAAGCGGCTACGCTTGAAATATTCAAATGAAATAGTTTTCATTTCTTTGATTACTTTCAGAAAATGAAGTAATGAATATACTACGACAGAATTATATAAATATGTAAATAAGCAGTGATCATTTCGTGAAATAAAGTGCAGTTTATGAACAGTTCTGATCGCGTGTATCCACATCTGATAATAGCATAAAATTAGAGAACCGGATCAAGGAAGAATGGTAGAAACGCTTTCACCTTTTTCTAGTGTTGCAGCAGTGGAAATATAGGTTGACTAGGTTCCGGCAAAAGGAGTTGAAGAAGTAATCGAGTAGTTGAATACTTGGGTCGCGCCCAAGTATTCTTCGATAAAAGCTCCTCCAAGTACCTTTGTACTACAATTCGCACACTATACAAAACTCCGTGTTCTTTTCTGTCACGCAGATATTCGTGTTAGTTTTCATGACGGCACGGTTTTCGATTGAGAGTTATTATTTGCTCGATGCTCGAATACCACATTCAATTTTGGTACTCTTCAAATCAGTCCACTCCAAACTGCATTACATAATACTATACACCACGTTGTCGTCGTTATTAATTAATTTTGCTCCTTTAATACTGTACCATTATTAATTACATAATTAATGAGTAGTGTAAATAATATAATATCTAGCTTAAACACAAGTTATTTTAATGAGTATTTATTTTTCAGAATGAAATGAATAAAACAATTGCGTATATAAATTCAAGTAACAATTCCTGTAAGTGGAACTGTTGCACGTGAAATTAAAAATCGTAGAGGAACATTTCATAACTTCCTCGATAAACGTCCAATGTTAAATTGTAAATTTTTCTGACGAGGAGGAAAGTGCAGGGTATCGAGCTAGCCGCGGCGAGGTTCGCCAATCAAAACGAAAATATCTCGCGGGTGGATGTAATTATGTTACGGAGGACGTTAGGCGACGGAATTTCGCTTCGCGGAAACACTCCGCGCTCTCGGTTGCGTTGAACGTTGAACTAACGAAGTGGCAGTGAAAAACGATGAGAACTACCGTAGAGTCGTCGTCGCCGGCTCTACGACTACGGCGGCGGGTACATACTGTACGTCCTGGCTGGCTGGTATGTACGTGTAAACTTTGCTTTAGAGTACTTTAGAGTAACGCATACATAATCCCCGTGTCCCATCTGACGATGCGATGTTTTCCGCGAAAGTGGTCGATCCTTGTTTCGCAGTTAACAACACTTGATCCGCCAGTATTGAAACATGATTCAATGCACTTTTTATGTCTGTCCCACTTTCTTCCTCTTTTCTTCGTCATGGGAAATGGCACGTTTTCACGGTAATTTAACGCGTCGTGTTACAATCGTCAGTCAGTGGCATCTCAGAGTTTAATACAAACAAACAAACAAACGAACGAACGTGCGATATAATTTTTATAAAAACACAACAAATACCTTTAAATTTTTTTATATAAAATGACATACTAGAAATATGACAGGGAAATATATTTACACAATTCATCCTATCTTCAATTTTATTCGCAGCAGATTAAACCATTTTCGTTATAATTAAATAATTATCTTAACGTGATAAATAAGGGCTAACAGGTATCGTAATAAACACGTTGCTTCCAGTTAATGAAAAGTGAATGAAACCGATTTCATTCATATACGATCCTCGGAGGTTTCTCACGTAATCAAAGTCACGCATACGTGAGAGCGATACTGCAATAACATAGCCGAGAACAATCTCTTGCGGAATTGCGTTAATTGATTCGTTCGTTTCTATCCCCGCGAACTACGTAACTGAGCCTGACAGCTTTGTTCCCTCTCAGAAACTTGAATAGATCATGAACAACCACCCGCTGCGCTGGTATCACAGAACAATTTTATTTTTCAAACCAGAGAACTGTAATTATCTTTGTTAATTAACCAAGCACGCCTGCACGGGACTTTCTTTCTCTCAAAGACATAGACGATAATAGTAACCATATTAAATTATACATTCTGTTTTTTTATATTTTGCAAATAATTTCGCATAGAGTCTGTGTACATTTTAATAATAATACGTACATTAGAACGTGATGTACTTATGGAGTCTAGAAATTGAATAAATATATTCAATAAATAATATTTCATATGTTGCATCAGACGCATTAATAATTAATACTGAATAAAGAAACAGCAGTCGGCATGAACTTTGTACAACGGCGAGAACACGGTCGTGGAACTGTAAAAACGAAGCAGACGCGCTGGTTGTAAAACTGAGGTGGCTAGTTACTTCCAAGAAGGTTCTTCGTCGTTGTTCCTACCGACTTTAATTGAACCTTCGTACACTTCAGACTGGAGGGGGATCTCCATCTATTTCTCTTTCGCAGTATTCCGTCTTTCTGTTTCGGATTCTACCGCGGCGATTCAACCCTGAACAGATCTCTGCGAAACAGTTTTCGCCTTTACTGCGAGAATGTTCGGTGCACGTCTCACGTTCTGCTGGTTCGTCGTAAAAAGACAATATCTGCTTGCAATTTGCGAATCTTAGGCTCTGTATATCTTAGGAAGGAAGCATAAACTGTGGAACGAAAGTGAGAGCGTGACTATGGAGTAATAAATCTGGAAAGCCAGAGAGCGGATGAATCCTTCAAATGGATTTCTTATTTGTCATCTGTATTCGTCATAGCTTCGCTAAATGCATTTACTTACTTAATTCCATTATTACACACTTCATTAGTAATAATAAATGATTTAAAGTAGTGACAGTTTTAAAGCAGATTGTATGAACCGAATACATAGTCGTGTACGTAGGTACACATATGACACGTTGAAATTATAACGAGCAATGCAGGTTTGCATTTAGATTATTATTCAGTAGAGCACCGAGATTAATACGAATATTGGCACACAATATTAAACTGTACTCGCTGATTTAATATAAGCTATGCAACTACGTAATCGATGCTGACGCAAATATTAACAACCGAAAACGTTTTATTCAAATTACCAATCGTTTTCTGCGTTTATCGAGATTATTCTAAACCCAGTGTATTCTCGTTACGCCACTTATCGGTTTCGTCCAAATTCCACGTTAAACATTATAAATTCTTATTACGATGTTACATTATAAATCGTGCGAATAAACGAATTAAAAACTGAACCTAATTAACATTAAATTTATGTTCTTGTTTTGTTGAAAGTAAAATAATTATTCAAACATATTGATTAATTCAAACGTAGAAATAGTGAAAAAAATTGATCGCTATATTCAGGTTTGAGATACACGTCTTCTTTCAAGCCCTGATTTCAGTCGGTTTTGGCTTGTACTCGGTGCTTAACGAAAACGAGAGCACCGATTCTCCGCGGATGTGTAATACGCTCAAGAGGGGAAAGAGGAACGCGAACGAATATCCTCGAAAGGCTTCTCATTTTTCTTGTTTATGCGCTGCGCGCAGAAAAAGAGAAGCGACCGAGCGCTAAAACTGTGACGATATACATAAAAGCACTTCGCGAATCGTTCCGCTGAATCCCTCTGATTTCTCTGAAGGAAAAGCGTCTCAAACGATTCTCATGTAATCGCACGATCAAAGTACGTGATATCGCATACTTACGCAAACGCGATTCAGATAGTTAATGTACTTTTTGCGAATAAATAGGAATTCATAAAGGATTCTCAATATTGCATTTTACAGTCAATTCGAGTATTAAAATAGTATTTGATTCCCGACTAATAAAAATATATAATAATTATCATAGTAAAGAAATATTCTTGTACAAATTCTATTTTTTTTTTCTTAAATAGTATTTAGTAACTTGTCCCAAAGTTTTACCCGACTATAAAGAATTGCTAACGGCAACTTGACTATCAGGAGATAATAAGTTTTCACATCGATTCTCTTTAATTACTTGGAAAATTCACTTATTTATTCGTTGTTCCCGAAGAGGCGGTGTGAGAAGGGATCGGTTCAATCTGATAAGTACCGCGAGAAGGGCGCGCGATCGTAAATTCGAATCTCCTTAGGTGGAGGACAATCGAGAGAGTAGACTCAGTGGATCGTTTAATGTTCCTGCAAGAAACGCGCGGACTCGCCTCTGCACTTTCGGCCAACTTCCCCAGACGTTAGATTATGGTATACTTCGGCTCCGTCTACCACCTCTTCCCCGCCCGACCCCTTTACCGAAGCGGAAAAAGTTCTTCGTTGACTCGTATAACGTAGGTGGCCGCTGCGCTGTGTTACTCCTACCTGTGTTTCTTTCACGTTAGAGCCCTTCTGACTAAACTTCTGGGCCATTAATTTACATTAGGACATTTTTCAAGAGCTCCCGACGCCCGTGTTACCTTAAAATTGGCGAAGTCTTCTTTTTCACGGAGCGCCGCGCCTCGCCGCCCGTCTCCTCTCTCCTCCCTCTCCAACGAAGAACTCTGAGTTGTTCCTGCTTCCCTTGTCGACGTCACGCTTGAATTCTTTACCATTAAATGGCTAGGCAAAAGAGACAAGCCATCTGCCCGAATAACTTTATTATCTTGCAAACGACGATTGAAAATGAAAAATTATTTATGCCGTCAGAAATTTTGAATTTGAAATTTTGAAACACATGAATGATTCACAAAAATCATTTTCCCCAATTATTTTTTTAAAGGAAACGTAATCTGATACAATTTTATTCATCAGCTTATTGTAGAGAGAAATGAACCATTTTTTTTTAAAGGAAACGTAATCTGATACATTTTTATTCATCAGCTTGTTATAGAGAGAAATGAACAATTGTTCACCTATGAAATTTCAGAAACATTTAATTGGCAATATGCCTGTCAGGAATTCACCCGGCGTCTCATTGTTGCTAAGCATTTTTAATACGTCACGTACGTTAAAAGCGAGCGTATTACCGCGTGAAACGTGTTGGTAAATGTTCCAAAACGACGTTTCCATTTCTGTTTCAGCACACGCTAACGGGCCACTGCGGCAAGGTGATGGCGGCGAAGTTTCTTGGCGAGCCTTCAAAAGTAGTTACTGGCAGTTACGATCGTACCCTAAAAATTTGGGACCTGCGTAGCAAAGCATGTAAGTAAACAGTGCCAAACAAATGGGAAACGTTTAAAGCCGTACGTGTGTTACCTACTCTACTGCACGTTAATCCTTTAACTGTAACGCGAAACTTACCGTGCTACATGCAGCTAGAAAATAATGCACGGTATTACCGGTAATCGCGTTCCTCATTATTCCAATTTTAGCCATGAATAATGGTAATACACTTGCGCGGCGTCTCGCAGCAATAAAACGAATCCTGAATCCGGTTGTTCGTATCTAAGCGTACAATTTGTCCCGCGAAAGTATGATGATATGCCTTATAACACGTTACATATTTTCTCGCGCTTTTAAATCACTCGAAGTTATTGCGATCCAGTGGCTAATTAAAATGGAAACTAATCTTTTGTTCGAATCATTTTCCTCGTCAGATTATTGAAAACGTTTGATTAATGTGTACCCTGTACGCGTGTGGAAGATAGAAAACTTTTTGTCAGAATCGCTATTAGATTGCGCAATCTGGAAACCCTCTTTCTTAACACCCCTGAGAGAAAGGCCAAATTGTAAGATCGGCTTGATGACTCTTAAAATTCGGCTGAAGATTGAGTAGGCGTTCGTAAAAGTGATTTTTCTTCGCGTAGTCAGTTCACGAGATTAATTAAGGCGATAAGGTTCTTATCGGCAGTTAGCAAGATCTTTTCCTAAACTTGCTTCAGACTGCAACTTTCTTGTCCCAGAGGCGAGCTTTTGTTCCTGGTCATCGACGATCCCAGGCTTGGGACGATGTTTCCTCGATAAGAACGCTGGGTAAAAAATCGGTAAATTCATGCGGGACGAATGCGATAGTTTTAGAAATTTAAATCCCGTAGACGATTAAACAGAAACTTGCGAACAGAAGAAATTTAATTTAAGACCTGCTCGTCGCGACTTTTATTCTGTTCCGCAGTTTCGAAATTATAATTTCCGAAGTTTTTTAAATGTATTATTTCGCGAATCGGGCACTATCTCAAACTGGATACTTTAAAGTGAAATTTTAATGAAATGCAAATTGTTTGTGGCTAGTTAACGAAAGTATGAAGAAGGCACGCCGACAAGTATAACTACGTAGAGTAACAAAATTATTTACTCGATTTACTGGAACATGCTGTGTGTAAACATTTTATTCGAGTCAAATGCAATGTTAGATTATGAAAGAGTAGTTTTAATATTGGGGGTTTTTATCTTCTGCGTGAAGTAGCAAAGAGCTTTTGAACCTCATCGTGAAATTAAGTTTTAAAGGAAGAAAAAGATTATCAGAAGAAGGCTTTGCATAAATATAATAAATTAGACTTTCGTTCATGCACAAAGTAAAGGTATTTTAATTACATCACGCTTTGAACTGCAGCCAGACATTTTAACAAATAATCAGAAGAATTGCTCGTAAATATTTATTAAATAAAATCCTAAATAAACGTAACAATTATTTAACATAATAATTTATTCAGAATAAATAATTGAGGAAGCATACGTACTTAATGTATCGACATTTAAGGGAATATACGCGTAAGCGCATAAAATTTGCAAATATAATAAATAGCGGATAGCAAGTCATATCGATGTGAAAATTATGCGAGGCGGAAGATTTTTATTATCGAATTGACAGTTTAAAAAGAGATAAGCCGATTATTTATGACCGTTCGAGCGCGTCATACGCTTAAAATGAAATATAGGTCGCATGGTGATGACTCAACCGGGAAATAGGTAGTAGACGTTCTCCAACGTTCTCGGGCAGCGATCTCATGGCGATAAGCGTCGGTTTAAAGAAGGAGGGAGGGCAAAGTGATAATTTAGCGACGGATGAAAGTAGCTATTCGCGTCGCGGCGAGATACAGACAACACGATGCTCTCTCGGCAAATAGGGGCAAGCTTTAAAGGGGGTAGGAAAAGTAAATTGAACATGTCGTAGAGACCAGAGCACTAGAGGGCTGGAGGGACGTGACCGGTCGGGTGTATGAAGCAGGCTACCGAAAGATACGGACAGTTTGCAAATGTAATAAATAGCGGATAGCAAGTCATATCGATGTGAAAATTATGCGAGGCGGAAGATTTTTATTATCGAATTGACAGTTTAAAAAGAGATAAGCCGATTATTTATGACCGTTCGAGCGCGTCATACGCTTAAAATGAAATATAGGTCGCATGGTGATGACTCAACCGGGAAATAGGTAGTAGACGTTCTCCAACGTTCTCGGGCAGCGATCTCATGGCGATAAGCGTCGGTTTAAAGAAGGAGGGAGGGCAAAGTGATAATTTAGCGACGGATGAAAGTAGCTATTCGCGTCGCGGCGAGATACAGACAACACGATGCTCTCTCGGCAAATAGGGGCAAGCTTTAAAGGGGGTAGGAAAAGTAAATTGAACATGTCGTAGAGACCAGAGCACTAGAGGGCTGGAGGGACGTGACCGGTCGGGTGTATGAAGCAGGCTACCGAAAGATACGGACAGTTTGCAAATGTATGCGGGATTTACATTCGATCCCTATGGACCGACGACTAATCTCGTGAAACCATATCATTCGAAGAACTGTTCGAGATATCGATTTACACTCCCTGGTCAACACCGTTACGGGTTAGGTACAGAAGCCCACGCCCCACCGAACGGAGGGCAGGCCGCCAGTTCTATTGACAAAGGATACACGATCCCTGGTTGGCATGGATGATAGCGCACCGGTTGTATTAATTTGCAAGATTTGACCAAAGGATCGATCCGAAATTTATTCACTGTTCTCTGAGATTGTTAGTTACGTAAGATCGACGGTAAAGGGATAGCTCGACAAAAATGTACGTCGAACTGATTCAGAAACTGAAGACGTAATAATATAACATAGACAATGAGATGATTGATCTGTTCATACTAATTAGAATAATCGCAGTAATTGTAGAATCAATTTCGAGAGTAATAGTGAGACAGGTCGTGAATGCAGGAAGTGCATCCTTTTTGTCGTAAGTCGTCCCTTGAATTATTTTCAGAGAGAGAACACAGGCGCGAGCGCTCCTCTTCCATTTTTTTCCCACTCCCCCGTCTATCATTCTTTGGACGTACATGTAAATAAAGCCGGTTTAGCGAATCCAACACTTGAAACGTTCTACGAAATTTGTACGCTTTTACAAGTTAAATCCGAGTTAATTTCACACATGTCGAGAGCCGGAAGAACTCGTTGCTGGCCAGGTTGATACACACACGCGAACACAGGTCGGACATTCATTTCGGTTCGGGGCTTCTCGCGCTTTTGTCGTGAAACGCGACGCACGCAGACCTACGGTGAAATAGTGAAAACCGAGCGGGGGCCACCACGGGTGCTATCCGAGAAAGGCGGACGATGCAGCGACGCGACCGGTGGGAGAGCTGGGAGAGGTGTACAAAAGTTTTGCGCAAATAAATCTCGCTACGCAAGGAGCGGACAATAGCGAACGCCATTGCTGAAACCGCGTTTAACCGTGAATTATTGTTTAGCATGGACGGTTTAAGACAAAAACTGTGCTTAAAGTGGATCAGCTGTTTCCTATCGAAGCATTATCCCTCTTACTGCTGTTTCGTCGTTTCTGTTATCGCTATAATACCTCACGTAGCTCGGATTAACTCCCATGCTTCAACTTAATAATTCAGATGTCCGTTATATCTCCTTTTAATTACAACCGTTCTTTCTGCTGTAATTTAATAAATTCTCGTTCACAGATCCGAACGAGGAAGAAATGTAGTTGTAATAATTTATTTTCTACATGTTCAAGCTTTTTCAATTATTCAACACGATTCATTCGAAGTGCAGATCACGAGAATAGTAAAAAAATTAAGGCTGCGAGATTGAAGGCCCACATGTTTATAGTTAATTAGATAAATAGTGAAACTGTCAATGCGGGTAGCAGTGGGAAAAGTGATCCGATGCGAGGCAACGTCGGTTACCCACTTCAGAATGTATGTGCGTATGTACTCAGATACTTCAGTTGCTCGAATCCTGAAAGTGTCATCGCTGTTTGAAATGTGTAACAAGGGAAACGGATACGGTGGTGCTATGCAAATATACGTATAAGCAATTAATAATCATACAACAGTTTACCGTATTAGAACTCTAACGAAATTTCAAGTTCCTCTGATAATGCTTGTATAGTAGAGAAGGTTGTTAGCGAAGCTCCTGTGAGCTCCCGATGGAAAAGAAGTTTGCTGCTCCTGTCTTGCAAACATATTTACATCCGTGCACGTGTTTGTTCTTCGTTGCAAAGGATATAGAATAAATCATCAAATAGTATACGTACGAATACGAAATTATAACGCGTAAACAATTAAATGAAAATCTCTGTGGAACAAACATCTCGAATGTAGCACGTCAAAATAAAGCCTGTGCTTATTCGTATAGTCGAAATATTTTTTATATTTAGCAAACTGTTTTTTAAGTATAATGAGTTGTTCATTCGGTAATATTAATCGCTATGATTTTTCGTTTTTTTACATCTGGCATTGAAAGAATATCTCATAGTCTAACTTGAAGCAGATATGTGTCTGAGTTTATCAGTCCAGTTTCTGCCTCGTACCACCGGATACGCGAGGCTCGGATAAATTGTACGTTACGTGACTTGCTCGTATGTTAAAAGTACAGATACGATTACTTAGTAGACGGCGAGCAATTCTTGTAACGATGGAATATGAAATTCTTGCTAGTTCGGGTAACGAATGAATATTTTTCATTTAGGAAGCTTATTTGCAAGTGGTAACGATGATTACCCTGGTTGAATCCGAATGGTAATGCAAGTGAAATGCGAACATTACTGCGATGAATCATCCGCTTCTTTGCGTCGCGTCGGGTCGCGTCGGGAAGAACTAACGATTCAGGAGAAGACTAAATGAGTGGAGCTACCAACGCTTAGCAATTATTCGTGCCTTCAAATCGGCATATGAAAATGACGTGGAAATTGCTCAACACTAATTTTCCCATCACCCATGCCACATTTCTGCCTCTTATCCTTCGTGCCACACAGCTACTTCGTGAAATACTGAACTGCATTAGGTCCTTTTTAAAAAAAAGAAACATATTTCATGTCTTTCAAAATTGTCTTCCCTGATAAAAGCCAAGTTAGCTTTTAATACTCCCAACGTGTAATGTTAATCATATTAATTAATTTCTCCTGTTCCCTTGTTAGGCTATAGTTCAATATTTATTGTATCATAAAGTTCGTTTAGGCTTGGTCTCTTTATTGCAGGCGTTTACTAAACATTATATTTCAAGATAGAATAAATTGCCGATCACATGATCGCTTAATAATAAGTTAATATACTGAAATGAGAAACGTTAAAATCACTAAAGGTTTAGGAGAATTGTATGGCTTGAAATTCGAGATTTCATTCTCTGGATACGCGCAGTTGAAACTTTCGAATACGGTTTCCGCCGTCTATTATTTTACTTCCATATGTACATACGGTGTACGTACGCTTAATTGCATTCGATAGTACGTGTACGGGGTGTCTTGTTCAAATCTATATAGGTTTTCAAATGTATTATATGGAAGGGAAAAGAGGAAATATGATGTACATAGGTATTAAAAATCAATTCCGTTCTCTGTGTTTCTTTATATCCACTTTTCAAATAGTTATTGGAAAAGTAATATAAATTCCTGATTTCGGTTATTAAAATTATTAAAATCATTTCACTTGACAGATGAATTGTATTGTGTCATGTAAGTATCCCAAATATTTATAAAATCGTAAGTGAAATTGTAATCGCGTCTACTGTTCGTAAGAAGAGTTAAAATGGTTAATAGAAGATTAAGGAGAAAAGTTATCGATTTGTAATTTACGGCTGCAATTTCTACTGGGAAGAGGTCAGTTATAAATAACGCTGGATCGACTCATTACGTCGAACCATGTCAGTTTTATGTACAATTACACGAATTTTGCGTAGGAACGTCCATTCCACGTTGTTGCTACCGGTTTACATTAAATCAAACATGATTTATTAACCGATCAATTAGCTTGTCGAACTTACCGCGACGATACGTCGGTTATCGATATCGCTCGAGGCCCTTCTCTCTCCTTCTCCCTGTTACCCTTTCTCTCTCCAATGGAGATGGAATTACTGGGGCACCAATTACTTCTCGGTGATGTATCATACCTGTCGACTTAGGTGTTACGACGTAAGCAGATTTTATGTGAATCCGGAAACAGCCGTTCCGATTGAAATTGCAGATCTAGGAATTCTGATTATTACCTCGATTCCTTTTGTATAGTGTATACTAATCTAAATAGGTGAAAAGTTATTGATTCAACTCTAACTAAACTTCATCCAATTAATAAAAAAAAGAAATTTTCGCGAATTTCGTAAAAATTAATATAGTTATTTGAGACGTATTAAAATTTGTTTGCAGGTATAGAAACGAAGTTTGCGGGCTCGAGTTGCAACGACCTTGTAACTTCCGATGGAGCAGGCTCTACGATAATTAGTGGCCATTTTGATCAGAGAATTCGATTTTGGGACACCAGGGCAGAGTCCAGCTCAAATGATATTCTGTTGGAAGGGAAAGTCACGTCACTGGATTTATCTCGTGGTAAGTCTCTATGGTACATGCAAAATAAGGCTTAATATTTGTTTATAGAATACTGAAGAGAAATTAAATTGTCCATGAGAATAAATGAGAGTCAAGGGTATGAACGAATTTTTTTCACTCTCGCGACTAGGAAAAATGCGTTCGTGTTCAGAAAATTGTTAATCACTCATATCGAATGTAACTTTAAACGCGTTAGAGTAGATGCAAGAAGAAAACGTCCGGACTTGTCGAGAAACAGATAGATCATGCGTCATAATGTACCTCGTAGGAACTGAGAAATTGTGTTTAGATCCAAATACCTGTATACTTAAGTTCTCATATTTCATTTCGTAGAATTAACATTTTTGTAGAAAGATAATTATGTTCGACACGGAAAATATGCAATTATGTTTATGATTACTTTTTTGTTGTACAACGCGCGTATTAAATTACAGATTAAGCATTACACACTTTTGCTCTGTAAAATCCGTTGAAACGAGAGAATGTAGTAACGGTTAAAACGTTAATATCATTGAAAGCTTGCAAGCGAACCTCTTAATTTAGCATGATAGAAAAATTTCAAGACAGATGCACATTGTTGAATGCGTTCCATAGTAATTTTGATAAAGCTCGCCGAGTCGGAATTACGTTATCGCGGGGACTATAAAATTCTGCTCGATTACATCGCTCCTCTGCTAATGCTTTTCCTTTATCATTCACCGTAATACATTATGTATACTTCCATTAAAGTATAATACAGCTATCACTTGCTTGTGAAATGTGCTCGCTAGATTCGGAATGAAACCCTTTTCTGAACGCGGCTACCCGGAAGATTTATACGTCTCGAAAAGGAATTATGTACTTACTTACGAAGGAGGGAACTCGGCAAGTACCTACCTAGGCCCTTCGCTTATTAACGAAACTTTGCCAACTTCGAGAGCTTATCGGGTTAAATACTACATTCGAACTTGTCGTTTCGAGGACGACAGGTTAATTGTTTACGAGGTATCAGCAATTCAGAAGCCATAAACTTCGATAATGATGTATTTTTCGAACTATGTAATTGTGAATAATCACGTTGATCATTGGAACCCTTCTACAATGAAATGTATTTGACTAGCTTAATTTTGTCATTGATAAATCACGTTGAAATGTGGATTTTTCTTTGCTTCCAGGTGCGAATTATCTTTTAAGCTGTGTCAGGGACGATACGTTGAAACTAATCGATCTCCGAATGAAAAAAATCATCGGATCATTCAGGTAAGCACCGTTTTCATTAAAAACTTAATCAAATTAAAAGATGTGTAATTTTATCTTGAAATACGTGTACATTTTGAAAATGAAGTATCAGAATACGTAACGAGCTGTGAGAGAATCATTAGAGAGAAAATGATATTCCATTAATGTTGGATGGTTCTATAAATTATATTTTTGAAAGGCAAAAAGAAACATAGCTGTAGTTGTCAGATGTAATTTTCCCGTTAAAATTATTTTCGTTCTGAAACATCAAAATTATGAAACTTTTATTTTTACGAATCCTTTAGCATAAATACAACGTTGATTACAATAGAGGATTTCTTAATTTTTAGCGCCGACGGGTTTAAAGTTGGCTTCGATTGGACGCGGGCGACTTTCAGTCCTGACGGTCAATACATAGCCGTCGGCTCTGCGGATGGATCGGTTTTCATTTGGTCCGTCGCAACAAATACAATTGAATCCGTATTGAAAAACCATTCGTAAGTAGTTCTGTTTCCATCCCACCTGTGCCCATTGATACTAATAACAATCAACAGCGAGCTCGTTCGCAACCGAACGGTGTATTTTACAAACGCACAGTCGCATCAAATGTCGAGAGCACAGCATATTATAATATCTATTTCAATTCTTGGTGAGCAGATGCTGTGAAAACTTGAGTTTGCATAAAAATTCATAGCCCGGTTCATATAACTAGAGGATCGCGGATTTCATATGGTATCAAATTTTTACATACTGAAAAAGCACGAGATCGAAAGCTTGTTGGATTTTAACATAGTATCTCGGTATTTTTACATGTATGCTTACGTTTATTATAAACACGTAACAGGCTGCAGTCCAATAATTACGTATCGATCGTGGACAAAATTTTAACGAACACATCTCTTCGAGTTCTGATAAATTATTCATCGTGCGCTTCATGCGGGACGAATTTTAATTAATTGCAACTTCGTATATAATAGATTACATTTTTGATACTACAGAAATAAACAGTTTTAATTGAACAGAATTATCAGCAGCAGGAATTTAAGGATGTATTGGTTATACAGTCAATCCCAAAAGTTTATGCACTTTAGAAACACATTTTTTAAAAAGAAATCAGACATCAGAAGAACATTGCTATTAATAAACA